ATTATATATTGAAATGAAGAAATTTCATGTCCTTTTTCAATTTTCATAAATAAATAAATGTATTTCACACCTTTTTTTAAATTCATGCTTACATTTAATCATACTTATTGCAATATGCCATTATGTTTTTAATGATTTCAATATATTTTTATTTAATGTAGTTAAATTTAATAATGTTAAATGCCTCCATATTAGTGTCCAAGTACCAGCAGTTATAGTTACTACAACGAAACTGTGGAAAGTTCATTTTTCAAAACAAGAAACAAACACAGTTTGCAGCAGATCCCGAATTCAGTAAGAACAGCTGCAGTTTGATGTACTACGGTACTTTGATGGAAGCTTAGGGTTACTGTGGTAAATGTCCGCTCACCTCCTCCAGTGTTGTGAACTTCAGCATGTGGATCTTTTCAAACATCAGCTCCACCTTCTGCCTGATAACGGCTTCACCCTCACAGGACCTGAGGGAAACCAGCCGCAGAGACACAGCTAAAGTCACGGCAGTCTGATCAGCATCAATCAATCACTTACACCAGCATTTACTCACGCGTCACTCCAAACCAGCTGAATAATAACTTCATTTGAGTGACAGAAAGCTCGTATGACTTTGGAAGAGCTGCAGTGACACTTTTTCTGAAGCTTCAGCATATCTGTGTTTATTTCTTCTGAGGCAGAACAAATAAAGTCATGCAGGTTTGGAGCGACATGAGGGCGCGTAAATAATGACGATTCAGCTGAACTACCGGTTTTAGTTCAAAATCATCGCTCTGGTTCCTCAGGTTCAGGAATAAACTTAGTTTTCCTTCAGGTTCATCTGATGTGCTGAGATGGAAGACGAACAGAGTCTGAAGCGCATCTACAGTCATCCAGCTGAACAAACACGTCACTATGAGAAGAATGAGGAGGAGCAGTGCTTTCTGGGACGTTCATCAAGAGATTCCAGGAAAGCATGAGACTTTTTTATCATAATATCTAATATATGGCATGTAGCATAATGCTGAATGATTACCATATTCGTATTCTACAGTATTTGATTTCAGAGAATAACATGTGTTTCTCATGTACATAAAACACACTCACACACTAAAGCAGCTGAATGAACAGGATCTACGGTTCGTTCTCACCCATCTTTCAGGTAGTTAACCATCAAAAGTTTAGCGGTTTCCTCATCGGGCTGATCCGGAAGCTCTCGCTGTCCTTTCAGGAGATCAGGTGTGGCCTTAGAGACACGTGACATAATGACTCATGAATCAGTTCAGATGAATCGAACACAATCAAATGACTCGTGTGTGCTTGTGTCGTCTCTACCTGTCCGCTTCCGTTCTCTTCTTTGATCTCTGACCTCTCCTGCTGCCCTGCAGATGTGGCTCTGACCCCTGTGACCTCTGACACATCTGTCTGCGTGAAGCCGCCAACTTCCGTTCCAATCCCTGTCCCGTCCGATCTGGACTCCAGACTTCTGGAGCGCCTCTTCTCCTCAGGTCCGATTCTGCTGCGGTGAGCGACTCGGCCGGTCCGAGGGGATTCTGCGTGGTCCGTCCTGGTGTCGTGTATCTCTGAGGCGGCTCCAGACATCCTGCAGATGATATGAGACGGCTGGTAGGGGACGCTCTCCACCGACGGCTCCTGGACTCCCGGCACGGGGATCCTGGCTCTCTTCACCATCACGGGTGAGGAAGGGCTGCTGCACCAGCCGCGGTGGTTTCTGGGATCGCAGGCTCTCAGGATCTCAGGCTTCCTCTGGTAGTTCAGCAGCTGGGCCGACGGGTTCTTGAAGGCTCTCAGAGATCTGTAATGATCCAGTCGAGGAGTTTGAGTGCTTGAAGCGCTGCCACTCATATTGGACACAAACTCCTGCCGCTGATGGTCGGTGAGGAAGACGTCGGGATACTCCGGAGAACATGGTGCGCACCTCCCCTGAGCGTTCAGGACCACGTACGGCTGGCCGGCGATGCCCTGGACCTGGACTTTCACCCCAAACGATCCCGAATCATCATCACCCTGAGATGCTTGAACAGGGTCAGACTGAGATCGTCCATCATGAGCGCCAGACAGCTCCATCTAGAAAACAATCACTGACTCAGTCCAGACTGAAGGAGAATCCTGACAGCGAATGACATCAGCGTGAGAAACAATGAGTGTTTAGAGCAGACACACAGAGAATGATGACGCTCACTTGGCTCTCTGAATGCTATTGTTCTTATATACCGCTAGTTATAAAAACTACCTCAGCCTAACAGAAAACCTTCTGCATTTTTACAATTAAATATACATTTATTTACCTCACTTTTACAAATGAGAAGGAGGTTTTATCAGGTTTAGCTCACTTCTGAGTACACATTTGTCTCTGAAATATTATTAAGTAGGTACAGACACACACACACACACACACGTTTACTTAGCTATCTAAATGGGGACATTACATAGACAAACACACACACACACACACACACACACACACACACACACACACACACACACACACATATATACAAAACACGCA